ACGGGTGCCAAGTGGGAGTCATTGTTGCCGTACGCAGAGTTCGCGTATAACAACAGTTATCATTCCTCTATTCAGATGACTCCTTTTGAGGCACTTTACGGTCGCAAGTGTCGTTCCCCTCTCTATTGGGACGACGTCGGAGAGCGACGAGTACTCGGTCCCCAGTTGATCGAGGAGACAGCAGATCAGGTCGAGTTGATCCGGCAGAGACTCAGGACAGCTCAGAGTCGTCAGAAATCTTCCGCCGATCATCATCGGCGAGACATTCAGTTTGAGGTTGGCGAGCACGCCTTTCTCAGAGTTCGTCCGGTTCGCGGAGTTGTGCGATTCGGAAAGAGAGAAAAGTTGCACCCTCGATTCATCGGTCCGTTCGAGGTTCTCGAACGAGTGGGCGAGGTCGCGTATCGTTTAGCCCTACCTCCCGAGTTATCAGGCATTCATAATGTATGCCACGCATCTATGTTGCGTAAGTACGTGTGCGACCCCGATCATGTTATTCCTGAGTCAGATATTCAGATTCAGTCAGATCTTTCGTATGAGGAGCGACCGGTAGCTGTCCTGGACCGTCAGGTTCGTCGGCTCCGGAAGCGAGACATTCCCCTTGTGCGTATTCAGTGGGATCGCCACGGAGCTACTTGGGAGGAGGAGTCCGATATTCGCGCTCGGTTTCCCGATTTTCAGTTTTGATGTATTTCATGTTTATGTCTTTTCATGTATTTTCAGTCATGTTCTGAATTTCCGAGGATGGAAATTTTGTAAGGAGGAAGGATTGTAATATCCCGACTTTATCAGTATTAATAATAGTTTAGTTCCGATATTATTTTTTCGGAATTAATTAATTTCAGTTATTTCAGTCAGAATTACTAGAACTATTTTCGACGTATCATTTACGTTCGAAGCAATTTTGGTAATTTAGCATTATGTTTAATTAGTTAAATTAAACATAATTAAGTGATTAATTTAATTTAATCACGAGATTAGCTATTGTTCGGATTTTATTCCGAGTTCATGTTCAAGTGCCGTGCGTGCATGCGAGTGTTTCGGTCCGAGTCTATAGCCGTGCATGTGCTCGTGCGCTTGTTCGAGATTTCCGCCCAACACAAGCCTTGAAGACCGTGCGCTATTCCTCGTCCGTGTTGGTGGGCGGAGTGATCGAAGGTTCACGTGTGGTCCGTGCTCATGTTAGCGGACGGAGAGTCCTAGGCCGTGCGTGTATCCGCGCGCACCATTTTGTCTCCTTGCACAAGAAACCGCGCCCAACATCTCCCTCATTGTCCAGGCAACCATTTGGATTTTTGCGCCATGGAGACCGTGCACCCTTTGTCCTTGCTTGCGAGAGAATCCGTGCGCCAACCCCTTGTCCGTATGCTAGTGACGGAGTGTCCAAGGCCGAGCATATATTCCTTGGCACATTCACGTGCATGAGACCAATTTTCCTTCCTCATTTTCTTCGCCCTAATGTTCGGCCTTAATATAAGTGCGAGGCTTGGGAGTTAGCTCCATTTTTCTCCTCCTCCATTTGCATTGCCGAGAGTGAGTTAAAGAGAGTTAGTGAGAATTTTCGTGTGTTGTGCGTGAGCTTTTACCGAGCGCGACTCACGCCGCAAGCCACCGCACGGAATTCCGAGAGTTCACGCCACGCTCGCACGCTCGCGGGAAGTCACGGCCGAGAGTTCGAGAGTTAGTCCCTACGGCTTCCAAGAGGTAAGTTCTAGTCGGCTTTTGCCCGAGAATATCATGTTTTAAAAGTTTTGATTTTATTGGCATGCTTGCGTGATTATTATGTGTTAAGCCGTGCGAGAGCCGTACTATTATGCATGTCATGTTTCAAGTATTTTCTCCGACCATTATTGCATGTTTAGCTTATATATGCAAAATCATGTTATAATTAGCTTAAGTGTTCGGATAAATTTAGTCTTGTTATTGAGGTTGGCCGAGAAAGGGGGTGGTCGCACACGTAGTGCGCACCACGGCCGCCCGAGTACTATTGCATGTTATGTTCAAACGTTCCGACCATTATGTGTTATTTAGTTCATTAAAGCATGTTTAAATTCAGTTATAAGTGAATTGCCGAGAGATTATGATGTTCGGTCGTTAAAACGGCACAATGCCGTCGGCGGTGCACGGCGTGCCGCCGCGGCCTTAGTTCAGCTTCATGTTAATCTTCATGTTTTCGGCAATTATGTGCCTATATGATCATGTTATGCTATTTGAAGTCATGTTGCTCGGAAGATATTGCCGGACGGCCGACAAGGGTCGGCCGTGGCCGCG